TGGCCAAAGCCAGAGTCCCAGGGGGTAAAAACAATTTCTGAGGTACAGCATTTGTTTCAAATGGTTTATTTTGCCTCAGTTCTTTATGGGCATGTTACCAAGAAAACAGAACAAACACAAAATATTTTAAGATGGTGAAGTGCCAGTTTTCTGTGGTCGCCAGACTGATGATGTCAAATCAAGAATTTTTCCACCTTGAATGGCACTATTCCCCATTTCTTCAGAGATACTATGTGCGAGCTACCTCATACAATCCCAGGTCAAGATGTACCAAACTATTATGGCACTGTGTAAAAACCAGTATGCTATCTCCCATAAATACTTCTCTATCCAGGCATTTGATTTTCAGAGAGCAGCATTGAGAAATGAGTAGCTCAGCAATCTGGCTAATCCTTCATTTTAAAAGGCTGGGGACGGTCATAAATGTGCTGTTACAGTTCTGGTAGAAGCTTTCACGTAGACCTTCAGAGGAACATGCTGGCCACTGGGTGAGACAGGATGCTGGACTAGATAGACCACTGGTCTGATCCAGCAGGGCTCCTTATGGTCTTTTATCATAAAAATGCAGACATTTTCTGACTTTTTAAAAAGCTTAGAAGAGGTTCTCATGTGCAAGCTTTTGCACTGAATAGTTATATTGCTAATAATTTCGGGGAAGTCAGAACTAAAACATCCAGAAAGAGAAAGTAACTGAATGAGCAAGGGCTACTACATGTGTCCAAACATTACCTATCCTGATGAATATGGAGACATTATGGGGTAGAGATGAGGTGGCTGTTCATTTATTAATTAAAATATTTATATCCTGCCTTTCTTCTTGGCTCAAGGCAGTTTTTCATTGCTAGAATTTATCTCAAACTTTTGACATTCACCTTTGCATTTATGGTACAATGACACAATACTAAGAGTCCCAGGAGTTTTTGTCTTGAAAAATGAAGCATCCCAAGGCCCATATTAGACTGCAGGATGGGATGGGGAGCTTCTCCCATGTTGTTTTCCCAAACTGACTGTCCCCCATTGGGTTCCCTTGTGTTTCCCCAAAGAGGCAAATAGCAGTCTCCCCATGGGAAAATGGCATGAGGGGAGACATCAATCCTTTCTCTCCCACAGTGCCAATCCTAGATCTCATGTGCCTGATTTTTCAGAGGGGGGAAATGAAGTTGGCCTTATACTGAATCAGACCATTGGTCCATCAAGGTCAGTATGGTCTAGTCAGACTGGCAGCGTCTCTCCAGGGCCTCAGGTAGACACCTTTCACTTTAACTACTGCTATCTAGTAATTTCCACAGGATATGCCAGGGATTGAACCTGAGAATTCTGCATGTAAAGCAGATGTTCCATCACTGAGCCACAGTTCCTCCTGTAACTTCCATTCCCATGAGTTCAGCACATAAAGCAGTCTTGTAATGAGACAGACACTTGGTCTGTCAAAGCCAGCCTTCTCTACTCTGGCTAGCAATGACTCTCCAGGGTCTTGGGTAGGTCTTTCACATTACTTACCTACCTGGTCCTTTTAACTGGAGATGCCAAAGATTAAACATGGGGTCTTCTGCATGCTAAGCGGATGCTCTACCACTGAGCCAGGGCTTCTTCCCATAGTTCATACCATGCCTTTCAATTCAGGATTCCAGAGATAATGCCCATTGAGTAATAACATGCAATTAAAACCACCTCCCCAGACACACAAATCCTGACACACAGAATTGCTCTGTGGTTCCCCACCCCGCCCCAATTCTTATTAGATTATTTTGGGTGCTCCATCTCTTGCCCCCCAACCAGTTAGTAGCCTACATGCTTCATCCTCTCAGGACTGCAGGTTTATTCACAATACAAGGTAGGAGCCAGATCTAGCAGCTGTGCCTTGGATGAAACAGCAAGCAATGGCTGATGGGTCAGTTGCCCAGCTATTGAGTACATCCTCCCCGTTCCCCAGGAACGGAGATAAAATCCTGATGTTGCATGATTGTCCCTAAAAGGGTTAAAATTGAGAGTTGATTCACAAAACCCTTAGACATGTAGCAGGCTGAAAGCCCAAATTAAAGGATGGTAATGAAAAGCAATCATATAAGCAGTATGCATGAATCAGAGCACAGCTGCAACCCCTGTCATGTTGATGCATTCAGTTTGTGCATGTGATTCATATGTCCGCTTTCCAAGCAAAGGGCTGTTGATCAAAGACTGGCGCCAAAGACAGTACTGAGGACTTTAGCCATGTGTGTCCCAACATAAACAACCTTTCTCATCCACTTCATAACTACTGAATGAAGTAGGCTCATGCCTGAGAAACCTGATGTTGCCATAAACTGATTCACACCAGCACCCCCTCCATTTGTGACAGTGCCGCATCAGCAGTCAAAAACACAGCCAGGTAAGCTGCAGACACAGCCATTAGAGCCCAGCAGTTCCCCAGTGGTTGCAGAGAATTTTTACCCCACACCATATCAACATATTTTAAACATTTTCTGATCTTAAGAGTGAAAATTACCTCAGAAAAGTCCCGGGTATGTAGAAAAATATGAAATCTGAAAAACAAACCCGGAGGGGTTAAAAGCCCCCAAACAATAGAAGCTTTAGGAAATGACTCCCCTCTCAGTGGCTGTTGTGGGGGTTGCTAGGCAATTGTAACTACTGTCAGTTGAAGCCTTGGTTTTTTGAGAGAAAAAAGGGGGGGGGGGGGGGGGGCTTTCCAGGGCTGTTTTAGCCTATGAGGGAGGACTCATCAGGGCCAAGATGGAGGGAAAGCTAAAGAAAGGGAGGGCAGATAAAGGTAGATTTGGCTAGTGGGTGGGAAGGAAATAAGGCAGATATGGGGGACAGGCTATGGAGGCCTTTAGGAAAGTGCAAGAGGAAATAGCGGGGGGGGGGATGAGATGCACTCCGCAAGTCCTTGTGGGCCCCCTATTTGTTTGATTGTATTGTCTAGAACTACCATACCAATGACTTTGCATGTAGACTGGGCCTTCATCCTTATTGTGCCATAGCCCACTCGATTTGGTTTGAATAGAAGCAATGCTAAAGGTGGGGCTAACAATGGAACAAATTCCATAGGAATTTGAGAAATGAGCAAACTGAGGAATCTGCCAAGCCAATGGGAACATTAATGTCATACACACAAGGCTACTTCTCTTTGTTCTGTTCTGAACTGAGTCATGCAGCTTCCAGTTCCCCAGTCCAAAATCCCAGCCAGTAATATGGACTGCAGTACCTGTGTCATCTATAAGAAATTTGCAACAAGAGGGAAGAAACCAGTTTTTCATTCATTCCAGCCTCAACCCACTGTACTGCAAAAACAAAAGACCAATTCAGATTTTATCCAGAAAGAAGAGGAGATTGGATTTATACCCCGCCCTTCACTACCCAAAGGTGTCTCAGAGTGGCTTACAAACTCCTTTCCCTTCCCCTCCCCACAACAGACAGGCTGAGAGAGCTCTGACAGAAACTGCTTTTTCAAGAACAGCTCTTATCAGAACTACGGCTTGCACAAGGTCATCCAGCCAGGTGCAAGTGGAGGAGTGGGGAATCACGCATTTAACCACTACACCAAACTGGCATGAAAGCATGTTTGGTGCTCATGTCTTGATGTTAACAGCAGTCAACACAGTAAAGTGCAGAGATGTCTGCATGCACAAACATACCACGGTCATACGTCAAGGAGACATAGCCAACCAGGGCTCCACAACATGGTCACTGTGTGTTAACAAACATGCATCACCAGACTTCACTGTGTTTACTGAGGCACAGATTCTTGCCATTTTAAAGTGTGAATCAATCTTGATTCCATATGGTGACTGGCAATTTTTCCAGATGTCACCTTCCTGCATAGCATAGCACATCTCTTCTGAAACTTCAGCAGCAGCTTGGGATGCAGAAGTCCTTATGCTGAAAGTAACAAAAGTCCCACAGGATGTGTGCTGAGCCTTCAGTGCACTTGAATGAGCCCTGTGTTGGCTGCATAATCTTATTCTACTTGCAAAAGAGAGAATTATTTCCTGTTAAATGATCCTAAAGGCAAACAAAATTTGCAAGTTAGCCATGTTCAAAATGGTTCACCTAGCTTAATTGCAGCTGTCTACACCCATAGACCTTTTCAACTACCTCCTTTCATGTTCTTATACTGGGGGAAGCCACTGATCTAAACTAGAGAATTTCTTCATTGTTCCCTCTAAAATGACAATCTGTCCACAAAGAGAATCAAACCAAAACAAATTTTATTTCCAGTGTTTTAAGTGGGTATGCACACAGGCATAATACAGGTTTGGAGTCATCATGCAGAATTATATTCTCAGTAAAAGAAACCAGTTCCCTCCAGGATTCACTATCTACACGCCTATGTTACAACATTTATATCAAATCTGGTATCTGAGGAAAAGATACAGATGGAGTATGTACATTTAAGTTACTTATTTTACAGAAAGATTAAAAATTCAAGTCACATAAAACTCAAAAAACGGTATTAAAATTGGAATATAAAACTCAGAAATCCAACTGGAATGCCTAAGGAATGGAAGCTCTGTACCCCACCTGTGCTAAAAAATTTTAAAATGTCATGAAACAACTTACCAGTCAAATGCATTTGCTTATGTTAACATCTAATTTAACAGCTATTATGGCACCCTAACAAACCAAATGAACTTTTTTCCCAATGAGGCACTTGTTAGTGACTAAACCCAAAACATTTTTTTTCCTGCATACTAATGCCAATTGTCAGTCATAAAAACCATGTACACATTACATATTTTGCATTAGATGCTTTTTTCAACATTTGTATGCAGCAATCAAATATACTTTTCTTTAAAATATATTTATATATATTTATTTATTTTATATATATATATATATTCTAAACTTTCTCTCCCATCCCCACCCAACCCCCAAATGTTCTGTAGTATTAATGTTCTGTAAAGACTCTTCCACAGTGCATACTGATGAAACCAACCCTCATTTGATACCTGCAAAATAACACAGTACAGAAAAGAAATATATACAGAACAATTGGGGACACATTAACAGTGAGGCCACTATTGAATTGCTGAAGTGGACATTTACTGCTCCATTTCAAATACACTGGTGAAACCGAGATCTAATTGCTTGGGTCACAGATAATTTATGAGGATGGGCATCAACTACTGGACTGAAGCTACCCTTGTTCACATTCTGGTAGCCTTCTCCATTGATGTGATCTAGTGCAGACTGAGGTGGTCCCGACACTGAGGCTCTAGGACCCAGAGCCGAACTACCAGAACTACTGCTGTCCTCTGCATGCTTCTCTGCAGGCAAAGAGAGCTCTATTTTTGATAAATCTGCTAAGCTAGTGTTCTCCAGCTGGGGTTTTCCACTTTCACCCGTATTAAGGTCAGTTGTGCTCGTGCGTAAACGTTCTCGTGCAAGCCAGTCTGAAATTGAGAGGTCCTGTGCTGGACATTTGGGCTTCAGCCGGTTCACTGCTGAAGAGTCTTCCTCCCTGTTTGGATTTTTCTCTTGTACTTTCCATGCATTCAAAACACTGATTTCAGCAAAATCTCTCTGGCCTCCTAATGTATGCCTTCGCCTGATGTTCTTTCTCTTGGCAGTCTCTGCAGAGTTTGATTTCTGACTGCCCACCCCAAACATATCATCTGCAGAGGCCTTGAGCCTTAGTTTGAGCCTGTCAGTAATCTTCAGTCTCCACGTAGGTTCCTGCTTTTCGGGCTCACTTCTGGGCGAGGTTGCTAAGCTGCTGGTTGACTTTCCTTTCTTCATGTCAAACATTTTGGTCACTGATGACAGTTCCTTCTCACCCTTGGCATATCCACAGCCTTCACTGTCAGTCTTGTGTCTGGCTGACTTTTTCCTAGAAAGTGTATCACATTCAATCAGTTTGTGTGAACTGAACAGTCTGCGGCTGTCCAACTTTGGTGTCAAGCTTCCTTCGGTGCAACTTACTTCGCTTTCTTCAGAGTTCCTCCGGCTGCCTTTCACCATGCCTGGCATTTTCCCCCTGAACAGCCTCTCCACAGCTGAACTGGTGGCAAAAACAGAGAAGTCACTCTCGCTGTCCGTTTCCACGGGGTGACCTTCACTAATCAGTTCACTTCTCTCATCATCAGCCTCCTCTCCTTTGCTCTCCATCACTGACTGCATCTCAGAGATCAGCATAGTGGAATCCAGGCCAGTTAGGTAGGTAGTTGATGAGACTGTTGAGTAGTCTGAAGTGATGGAGCTGGCATCCGCTCTCAAGACCTCACTGCATTTACTTTCAGAGTAGGCCAGTTTCTTACCGGTGAATCTCTGCAGAGAGCCCTGGGCAGAACTGCTGAGCCTAGTACCTAAGTCTGAGGCTGTGTCTTCCATTGGAGTAGAGGCCTGCAAGACTGGCAGTTTTGTGCAATCTTTAGGTGTACTCAGCCGAAAGCTGAGATTTGGAGATCTCATAGATTTTTGGTGGTAAACTGATGAGGGATCATCTGATAGTGCCCTCTCTTTCCTTGGCAACACGTTTTCCTCTTTGCTTGGTGCAGAAGATTTTCTAACACTGTTCTCTTTTAGAACTGCTGCTGTCTGCTTTCTCCCACCCGCCTTCTTCTCTACCTCATCTCTAGGCGCATCCTCTTTAGCTGAGCCACCGTGACAGTGTTCCGCAGGCTCCTTCTTGAGAAAGACATTATCAAACTCATCTTCAGAGCTGCTAGGATGCGGTTTCTCTTTTGTTTTTTTCCGCTTGCGACTAGCTGATACAAAGATGGAGGACTTAAGCAGTTCCCTGCTATATTGATCCTTTCCAGTTCCCCAAGAACCCTGGATGAGAGACACAATTAAAAAAAAAAAGGCAGTAACAATGAGAAGACAGAAAATAAAACCATGCTTTAACACTCAGCGGTGTATAATATTTTAAGCCAGAATCTTCTGACAAAGTATATTTGTCTGTGTGATGCAGTGGTTAGAGTGTTGGACTAAGAGCTAGGAAAACCAGGTTCAAATCACCACTCTGCCGTGGAAGTCTGCTGGGTGATCTTGGACCAGTCACCACACACACACAGCTTAACATATCTACCGCACAGGTTTGTTGTGAGGATAAAATGTAAGAGAGGAGAACAATGTAAACCACTTTGGGTCCCTATATAGGGGAGCAATGTGGGGGTAGAAATAAAACAAACAAATCAATAAATATGGACTACTAGCCATTAGAAATATCAATGAGGCTGCCATCAGCACTGAACCACTCTGCTCCTTGATAAATACAGAACTATCAAATTAACAAAACAACCTGGATTAGTTTTTCCCCATGTTCCTGGAATAAACTGCCCAAACCAGATGAATACGAGGCTAAGTCCCAGAAGAAAGAGAGTTGTCTAGCACAATATAAATATGAATTTTATAAATAAGAATGATACTCTCCAATGAGAGCTATAGGCTGGTATAATTGGGAAAACTTTGCTGAGACTTTATTTCTCACTATGCCTATGTGAAGAGGACTGCTATGATGGAGTCATCTGGGAACTTTTTGCCAGATAAAAGGGGACCATCAAAATGTATTTTTAAAGTCAGGAAGGTCAGGCATCCAATACCCAAACAACCACACTTTCTTCATTCCTAATTCTTGACTGTAATAACCAAATATGTTTGTGTGAATCCACATAACCATCATTAATTTTTTTTCTGTAGCTCTGCATATCACAACTCTTCCTACAATAGAATTACTCTGAATGGCTATTGCAGTACTATTTTCCTTTGCAACACAGACATTGGCTCCTTTTATGGACTTCACCTTTGGGAAGACTAATATAACTGAAGTACAAGGAAGGCAACTATTTGTCTACTGCCCCTTATTTGAACACAATGAAATATCACATTTCAAAGGAAAATGAAGACAATGATTATAATGCTAGAACCTCTAATATATACAAACCATGCAATCTGCTAAGATGAATGCAAAACTCAGAATTATTATTTCCCCCTATTTCTCACACCTGTCTTATGCCCTTCCCTCAAGGAACTCAAAGTAGCATACCATTTTATTGTCACACCCACCAGGATAGGTTAGTCTGAAAGATAACAGGTTGGATCCAGACTCAATTTCTGCTGATTCCTCCCTCCTCATGCAGACTCTCCCCCCCATGGGTCGCTACCTCAGGGTCCCCCATCCCCCCAGAGCAGCATTTTGTGGAGATCAGCAAGCTGCAGCAGGAGAGGCTGGAAAGCCACATTCTGCTGTTTGAGAGTTTAAGTCTAGCTCCAACCCACCGACTTGACTCAGGAAAGTTCAACAGATGAACCCAGATCTCTCCAATCTAAGTCCAGTGTCATCTACTACACTGGCTTGCCAATGATACTGCTGATACTAGACTCCACCCCAAAATGTCCTCTAAAGTCCTACATGACCATGGGTCAGTCTGTTGCTGATGCCCTCCCATTTCGCAGCAAACTACAGCTTGCCTGGGAATCTGAACTGACATCCATGATCATACCATGACTTGCAATTTCAGTTGCCAGGCAAACAGTGAGTTGTGCAAAATCATAGGGATGGATCCTACCCCTATAATTCCCTCCACAGAGCAAAGATTGAAGCCTCCCTCCAAGTTAAGTGGCTCTTCCCCATAATCTCCAAGGGATCCCACAGAAATAGGACCTTTCCATGCTAATAACTCCAGTGGGGTAGCCATGCTGGTCTCTTGCAGAAAAAAATAAATAAGAGCCTCAAAGCATCTTGAAGACTAACAACATTTTATTCCAGATTCTTTTATGGACCAGAGCCCACTTCTTCAGATGCTGTAAGTGGATTCTCACTCTGCAGACATTTTATGAAGGAGGATGAGAGAGAGAGAAACAGCACGGTCAAGGGACTGTGGATTTAAGGTATCATCCATTCTGGATGAAGTTGCATTCCCCTTGAAGGAACAGGCCTGTAGTTTGGGGGTGCTCTCAGACCCAGTCCTAGTGCTGGATAAGCAGATGGCAGCTGTGGCCAGGAATATCTTTTATCAGATTCGACTGATTAGCAAGCTGCAGCCTTTCCTGGGCAGAAAAGATGTGGCCACTGTGGTAAATGCCCTGGCTGTACTTGGATCAGATTCCTGCAGTGTATTCTACACAGGGCTGCCCTTGAAAAGTGTTCCGTAACTTCAGTTGGTGCAGAATGATACAGCCAGGATGTTGACTGGAGTGGGTCACAGGGACTACATCACTTCAGTGTTGACCATCTGCACTGGCTCCCAATTTATTTCCAGGCACAATTCAAGACTCTAGTGCTGACATTTAAAGCCCTAGACTGTTATGCACCAATGTACACAACACACTGCTTACTCCCTTATGAACTTACCCAACTACTGTGGTCACCTTCAGAGGACCAGCTCTGTGTGCCCTCACCTTCTAAAATTAGTTGGGTGGAAACTTGGGAGAGGGTCTTCTCAGTAGCAGCACAAAAACTCTGGAACTCTCTCACCAGGGAGATATGCCTGTCTCCTTCTGTTGCCATCTCTCCCCAAAGGGTGAAGACTTCTTTGTTTTGCTTGGCACTCCCTCAGTGATCCCTTTTTCCTCCCAAATGCTTTTTCATTTGTAATTATGTTACAGATGAAAAGGGTCACAAGGGTCACAGCAGCAAGGGCTGCCTCATTTCCGAGATACAGTTGCCTGCATGCAATGAATGAGCTGAGGGTATGTCAAGGCTCCTGTTTTCTAACCAAGAAGCTGAACCACCTTCCAAACCCCCTCCCCCAACATGCAAAATTACAAATGGCAAGCCTAAAGAAATGCCACACGGCCTTCACGCACAATCAACCAGAGCCAGTGACAAACCCAAACGCGATGGATTACCTTAGATTTGGTAGAGTCACTAGTAGTTGAATCTGTTGAAAAAAATCAAAATGCAACACTTTAGTCAACACTGTTCAAAGTCTGCTTTTTGCTCTAGACAACGCTGGACATAATGAAAGAAGACAAGCACTGAACAAAATGTGAGAGCAAACTGGTTAAAAAAAAGTTTAAAATAATCAGAACAAAGTGGATAGTAAGAGCTCACAAAGATGTGCAAGCTGCACCACAGAAAGCCACCGCCATGAAAGGATGCTGTGAGTTGTAGGCAGAATCAGCTCAATGACAGAAATGGCAAAAGAGCCCTGGTTCTTCTAAACAAAACAGAACAGAAAGACTAATTTTTATTCAATGTCCTAAGTACACAGCCCTGCAAAACCGCAGCTGAGAGACCTGTTCAGGATTGTACTCAGTACACTCCTGCAAATGCAATGCACCAATTTCTGTAGAAGAGCCTTTGGCTATATTCTGAAACAATCCATCCCACCCCCACCCCAGGTTCTTATCATAAGTCACATTTGTATTCTGTCAAGCATGTTTGGGTAGAGGGTAAGGAGTGATATTTTGACATCGGGGGGTTATTTTCTGACGCCCCAGTTTCACATTCAGGTGCTCATCTGAGCTCCATGTTTAGGAAATTTTAATTTGTCCCTAGCTAGATTTCCACAGCTATCAGTTTTGTGCTTAGTCTTAAAAAAAACAAAAACACAAAGAAGCGCTATTATGAAATGAAAATGGACACCATAATTTTACTCTCGGCAAAAACAAAAAAGTCATACGGTTATAAGGGGGTAACGGAGGGGCTAATGCAGCACCCAGATGGTTTACTTTGCCATTCTCCAACTCTCAGGGGGTCCCCCCCACCTCAGAATTAATGAGCTGAGCCCCCATGCCCTGCCCCTTTTGACACATGGCTAATGACTAGAAAGACTGGCGGACCATACCATGCTATTTCTCCTCAGGGTCTGCTTCAGAAATAATAAGAAACAGCAGAAACACTTTTAAAAAGTAGCACTGATCTGTTCAAAATACTCTTCAAAAGAAAAAAAAATTACAGCACAGATCAATTAATCCTTTGTGCATTTACAAGAAACGGGGGTTTCTGCAGACAAGGCAGCTACAGTGTGGGCAACAGTCCTCCTTCTTCCTACAGTTCCAGCTGTCCATCAGTGACATCACAGAGTCCACTAGTGACATCACCGTGTGATAGACTCCTCCCACTTCTCCTGTTTCAACATCAGGATAGAGGGACTGTTTCAATAAACTGCTGAAAAAAAGAGTCTTCTACGAACTAAAACACAAACTAGAAACAGAGGGATAACATCTGTGATAAACAACATGCTTGGTTAGTGAACAGTACAGTGGCAGTGTGGGGGAAAGTCGCCAAGAAAGTTTGCAACAGCAGTACTTAGCTGAATAATAAAGCTAGTCATTATTAAATAGAAACAAGTCAAGTTTTAGTAAGCATACCCTATTACAATATACTTGGGGGGAAATGTTGGTTATCTGTCAAGCAAAGTTAACTTTAAAATTTTCATTCGACTTCCTAAATTTGAAAATCAGCATCATTTGAATAATGGGTGGAAGGTTCAGACTTTCAGCCATCCCAGCAAGCATTCACACAACTACAGGTTATCTCATCCACCTCATTGTAAGAATTATATGGAGCGATCCCCATGGTTAATGACAAAGTTGTGAGCATGCTTAGTTCTTCTCACTGTTTATGAACTGCCCTTCCCTTAAACCAAGAAAGCATTCCAACCTATGTCACATGCAACATGCCTTACTGTGTTGTCTTAAAACAAAAACACCTATGATCAGTTTGAGAAGGATAAAAATAATCAAGTTATTAGCAAAGAAAGGAAATAGAAGAAGATTAAAACAAATCAGTAGAAGAGAATTTTCTAGCCTACAGACTGTCCAGGCAAAAGTTACCTGATACGTCTCCAGGAGATACTCCCGTCCTTCCAATGTTGGTGAGTAAATGATCTATGTTTGGCACTGGCTGAGATTCTACAGTGTTTTCCTCCTGAACTGCTGTCTACAGTTAATAAACAAAGATCTCTTCATCATCGTTTCATAGTTAATGGGTTCATTATGACTTAAAAGTATTTAGAAAGCTGTTAACTATTCACCCCAAAACACTGTTTCCTCAGGAACTCTTATATACACAAATAAAATGGGAAATATGGGGGGGTGGAGCTCATTTTAGAGGAGAAAGCTGACAAATTAATTGCATACTGCTCATTTTCATGACTGTTTGGCGTAAAGATCAAGTATATTGCTTATGAAGGAAGAGTAAGTAACATATGGGGAAATATGTGCACATTTTAGAGATAGCAGGGGCCTAAAACTAAGAGGGAGTGAAAAGGACCAGTACTTACAAGAGGTTCTTCATCGTCTTCTGCGAAAAACCAGTCATGCTACAATTGAAAATAAAAGAAGTGAAAAAAAACCCACCAAAGTCACAAAAATGTGGACATTGCGGAAATAAAGGAAAAGAAGGAGCGAGCTGAGCAAAGGAGAAGAAACAGAATCGAAGCTGATCTAGCTAGAGGAAGCAGGTCTGCCAGCATTATGCGCTTTGGGAAGGCGAAATGGATTCACTTACTTTTTGGATAAGCGTTTCTACGATTTTGTATTGATCAGGCATATGGGTAACCATGTGCGTCATGTTATCTTCGGATGTTCTCACAAGAGTTGGACCAAATACGATTGCCAGGTTCCTTGGTTCCATCTGACAATACAAGGAAAGCAGGTGTGATTTACCCCTTTGTAGGAAGGATGAAGACTTACATATTTGCTTTCTTTTTAAAAATGAAACCAAAGAAAACCCCTCTCATCACTGAGAACCAGATTTTGTAAAGCCTTTTCAGATATTCACTCCCTAGACCAATATATCAAAGCAACAGCAAAGCTGGCCTTGTATAACAGAGAGTTAGACTAGGACCTGGGACAGCTGGGTTCAAATCCCTTGGGCTAGTCATGCTCTGTCATCCTAACCTACTTCACAGTGTTGTTGTTGTGAGACTTAAAGGAGGAGGAGAGATCTATGAGCTTCTAGGAGGAAAGGTGGGATAGAAATGCGATAGAAATGTGATGGACAGAAAGATAACCCTCCTGACACTAACATGTACATGAAGCTGCATGAAGCAGAGTCACACTGTTGTTCTTGTTTCTCAGATCCTTGAGGGTCATGCTGCCTAAAGCAGACATGTCACAGGTGACTCAACCTGGAACCTCGTACACGCAAAGGATGTACTCTGCCACTCTGATATACCTTTAGCACCCTTCTCCCATCCCAAAGGGGAAAAGCTCCACACTACTTCACAACAGGAATTAAGGTTGCAACTTCATGACTTTTCTAGACAATGGAGAGAGTGGCAATTGTGCAATATAACGTGCTCCAACAATGAGCTATGGCAACTCTTATGTGCTTCGCACATTTCTTCTGCAACAGGTTTTAACCTTATGGCTCTCCACTCAACAGACGGTGAGTTTTCCAGCCACCACACAATGCAGCAGCTACTCTAGCAAGGACTTTGGTTACTGAATCTTTGCCAGACCCAGAAGCCCTACATACAGTTTCAGCTAGAGAGAAAAAGTACACTGTAAAAGCACAGATGCTCTGGGGCTCTGCTTTATATATGCCTGAGTACCACACAGCTATCATGGCTCCAAAATGGCCACCAGCCCCAAAATGAACATAAACCCTTGGATTCATAATTGACTTGACCTTGTTCTTCTCTGAATTTTCTGCTACAGTCTTTAGATGTGCAGACAGAAATTTGAGTGTTTCATAATGGTGTTCCGGTAAATCACAGATCTGAAACACATGATTTTGAGCACAGAGTTTAACAACCATGCTGATCATCAAAATGTTGCATCAGATAAGGTACATATGCAGAATCAGCATACCAGCCTTTTTAGTGTTTTCAGTCGTTCCACAGGATCTTCTTTTCTGTTTGCATCTATGAAATCTGCATATTTGTCTGACAAAAAGAAAAACTATTTTATTGCAAGCTACTATATACAGCCTACCCAATTTCCTTCCTTTAGCCTGAGAGGTGTAACACAGAGACTCCCATTTGCACACAGAGATAAGTGATCTGAGGAATGGTCCCACAGCATGGTCTGAAGGCACATGATGTATTAACATTGCTAAGCCAAGCCAGTCTGAGATTTCTCAGAACCTCGATGGAAGACCATGGGGGACTCCTGTGTATACCCACCCTGAGTTACAATAAAAGTAAGGTGGGATATAAATTAAAGACCAAATTGAAAAAACACAATCAAGTCTGCATGAGCCTTGGCATCCTTGTCTACTGTCTAATCCAAAGAAACATGTCTGTGTCCAAAAACATGTCTGAACTAACTCCGTAAGAGGGTACAAGGAATATGTCCATGGTAAATGGAGATTTTTTGGGGGTGGGGGGGACTTTTTATTTTCATATCAAACAAAATAAACATATAAAACATACCAATAGAGATTTTAACTGTAAGATTTTATTATTATTGGTTTAATATGCTTTTTATAATTTTTGCTTGTTACAATTTTGTTGTGATTGCTTTAAGATTTTGGGAAAGTGATCTGTGAAGGTTTCCAAGAAATATATAGGCAAACATCATGTAAAAAATTAACACTGTTCTCATTTGAGATGTCTGTACATCGACACATTCTCTAGCTCAACAGTTGCTGTTTGTCATTAAAAAAACCTGTGCTTGTTGCTGTCCCTGACAGCAGCTCAGTACATAGGCATTAGAAAAGATGGAGCCTTTTCTGGCATGGAGCTAAGTGATGGGAAAAGCTTTGCCTGCCTACCTAATGTGTGTCAGGCTGATGTTAAAGACATGAGCAGGGACAGGTGGTGTCCTCTGTAAGAGCAACACTTTAAAACACATGGCCACTCAACTCATAACTCCCAGTTCTTCATCAGCCTGCCCTCCTGTCAAACCAAACACAGCCACCAGTAATGTGAGGTAGCCCACCATGGACTCAATGCATCTCCCTATATGTTATGGTGGCCAAGGACTACCAAAACTGGGGGACAGTCAAACACTGACAGGCTGCAGCAAGGGGATAGTAAGCTTCAATTGACCTGTTGGGTCACATGCAGTACAAGCCAGTTTTAAGCCCAAGAAAGGCGGGATGTGATTCAGCAAGAGCAGCTTGAGGAACCTGAGAGACACAAAAATGAATGGGAATTGGAGCTTAACAACTAAGCTCATGCAGTAAAACCAAGTGGGAGGGAGGAAAACACTCATCAACCAAGCACAAAATGTAGAAAACCTGTTATTCTTATCTAAGCCATCACCAACAATGTACAATATTGGGTGGCTGGGTTTTTTAATGGTTTAAAAGAGAGAGAGAGAGAAAATTACCATTAGTGAAGAGTGGCTCCGGAAGCTTCCTAAAGAATGATTTCAGTAAACTACTTATGACATTCAAGTCTCGCCATTTCTAAGAATTGAGAGGAGAGAAAATTCTTGTTAGTCTACTCACAACCACAGCAGCTTGAGATAGCAGCATTATTTCCAGGAACCCTGTAAATACCTGTATACTCAAGACCTCTTTCTTCAACAAGCTTGCAGCATACATCAACAATAAGAGGAATATACTGTAGGGGAAAATCCAAAGACAGATAGTGACTTTGCAATATATGCCTTACATCTTGTGAACACAGGAAGAATTTTCAAAGTAAAATTGTTGTTGTTGTTGTACAACTGGTACCTTATTGCTTTGAGCCGGAGGACAGTCATCCAGTCTGACTCCAAAGGTCCCAGCTACAGATGGCTTCTTCTCAAAAGTTTTTCTCATAATATTGGGAATGTTTTTTCTCCATGTACCTTTGTCTTTTGGTGGGCTCGTCTCGTCTTTTTCTTAAGGGAAGAAAAGCAAAAAGGGAGATGAGATTTTTTTTAAAAAAATGGCTGAGACAGACTGAATGTGATTGAATGGTTAACTGAATGAGGTACTCCCCACAAAAATTGGGGAAGGCACAACATAGGTAGTTGAAGCACCACAACCTCAACAGCTACTATCAATACACCCACACCTCTGAAACAAGAATACATTTCTTTGGTATTAGAGTCAATGTAAGCAATGGTGCTATATACATAGCTCATCATATGCTGCTCCACAGATCTAGCAAACATGCCAAATGCAAAGTGTCTGTAATCAGAACTGGAGAAGTTGGGGTCTAAGTTGTCTGTACAGGTCTGTTACCTTTTACTGCTGATGCTTGATGTTCACATATGATGTGTCAAAAATCTAACAAACTCAGCTCATTTTCTCTTGATTAAACCACACCATCTATTCATTTGAAATTTAAAACATGCAGTATTTTAAATGTATTTGCATCTGCACAGTTGGTGGTTTTCATCATCACACAGTAGCAGGCTGGTAGCTGCTGTTAGTGCACGCTTAAAACTTATTGATTGCTGGAGTTGATGGGAATTGCAGTTTGCTTGGCCTTCTCGTTCAGTTCAAGAAGTCAAAAATCCACAATTGCCATCAACCCCAGCAATCAATAAGTTTTGCTCGGGAAGATGACGAATGTACTTTTAAAAAGGAAGACAGTAAGGACCTACATTCTGTGTGTGAACTACCATTCCTTGTGGCAAGTTAGTCTGCTCTTCTGGAATGATTCTGAGACAAGTGCAAGCTTACCACATGTGAGAGATTATTTCTGATGACATGGCTCAGAATGAAATTTAATGGTTTTGATGAATACAATACAATGGCATTAACCAAGGTTTAAAAATGTGGACAGAGATTTTCTTGCAAAAATGGCTGCCATACCAACTTTAACATCAAGAACAACATTATGATAACCCAATACCGTTGTCCTGCATACTTGCTCAATTTGCCTGCAGCCTGCAAAACATTCCAGGCTGATGTTTAGGTCAATGCAGAAACATCTTTTGTGGAAATTTAATTTCCTTCGTGGAAAATTAATGCATAACTTCCACTGCCAGACTTCATTCACAAACTCTCAATTTAAGGTTCAATGTATTCATTTTTCTTGAACAAAGAAAAGGGCAAGGGGTTCATTAGATAAAACTAGAGAAGTCACATTGGCAACAATAAGTCTGGGCTTGCAAGAACACCTGCTGCAAAAAAATAACCAGAGTACGGTTTCTTGCAGCTGGAGAATGGCAGTTCTCTGTTCTTAGTCCCCAACCCATCCCGCAGCCTTGGCTTCCATGAATATTGTATGAATTCCAATGCTTTTCTGTTATTCCACAGCCACCAAGAGCATAAAGCTACCAAAACAAATTGCACAAAATAAAGTACAGTTTAAAAGAGTTGATTGAAACAGATGACTAAAGGAGACTGGGGAGCTAAAACACAACTCAAGTTAAACATGCAAGTCTGCAATTTTATATGTGATAAGAACAAAGTTAAGCACAGCAAAGTGATCATGTAAGAGGAGTTTGCTATTATTGCCTAGGAACAGACGAAGATGCTTGGAGGCCATGGTTCTCCCTACAACGGGCAATGAGAAGCCTGTGCGCACCCAGTGCCTTGATCCTAGTGTGATCTTGTCAACTGGCCTTCCCTGCAGCACTGGCACTGATAATACACATGGCATAGTTACCTTTAGCAACAAACTTCCTTTCAGATTCCTCCTTTGGAGAATGTGGGCTTTGGGTCTTTTGCTCAGTTTTAGCGCCAAGGAATGTCTGCTTGATGCTTAAGCTCTGACGAGGTGTTTTGGGGGATGGCTCTGTTTTGCCGCTAGAAGCACTGAGGGGGAAAAGAAACTGTATTATTCAGAAACAGAGGAACTATAATAATCAGGCCATCTGTTCTATTACATTGCACACCAGCCACTTACTTCATCATTGTGCTGTACTCTTTAATCCTTCGGCTGATTAGGTCCCTGCTGGTCACACCGGTGTTCTGCAAAAAGGAATTTAGAACTATTTTGCAAATCCTGATTCAAATAAGTCCAGCTGAATTTTATCAAGCCACATTCAGAAAGTTTAACCCTGTGATCTTAAGGAAAGTGTACTGCTACATTACTGGTTCTTATGAAGGAGTTTCTAATTTTGTTTGCTTCCTTGCTTGCATGATATGGAAATGTTCAATAGCACACTTCTGCAACATGGGGAGAAAAAGATCAAAGTAGAAACTGCTTCAACTTTAAAAGGGGGGGGACCTGTTTTTTCCAGCACTCAGAGGCAATTTTGAAAGAGTTTCTTTTTTGTTTCTATTTTACAACACAAAGGTCTACTGTTCCTTGGGTGCCTCCGTCTCAGCAGTGTGTGCACCTGTTGGACTTTGAAAACCAGAATTCCCTGCTGCTCACAATCAACACAAAACCAACAACAACCAGTGTTCCCTGTAAGCTGAGTTAGTGTGAGCTAGCTCACAGTTTTTTTAGCCTTTGGCTCACACATTTTTATCTGAGCTCAGGAAGGATGGCTCCAGAGCAAACTAATTTTATGCAGCATCCAAATCACTCGCTCACAACTTTAATGCAAGTAGCTCACAAAGTAGAATTTTTGCTCACAAGACTACACAGCTTAGAGGGAGCATTGACAACAACTATGAATCTCATTTAGAAAGCACAATTCCCATAGATCCTGTTTTGGTTTAAAGAGCAATCTCATGAAGGAGAATTGAGATTCTATTGCAAAATCTGTCCCAAGAGATCACCCTTATGTTTTACATGCTAAACAGTGAGGATGACAGTCTGTACACAACATATCACAATTACCTGGGTCTTGAATTATATTTAGCTTTAAAGAAATATTCACAACTAACACTAATGGGAGTTTTTAAATCACAGTGTATTTCTGCACATATCTACCTATCAATTTAACCACGTATGAAAATGCACTTTAGAAAACTAAAGATCTTCTTGTCATGTTCTTAAGATAAATGCTCCTCCTTGAGAACAATTCTAGTATTCCACAATACAAGGCAGCTCCAAACTAAATGAATGAAATACTGTGACTAATGTTGTAAAAGTCTCCAATTATTTAAACTCACATCTGCCCACCACTTTACTCATGGATGCATGAATTAATTTTTTTGAAGAAACACATTTCTCTCAAACTGTGTTCTACACAGAATGCACAGCTACAAAATCAAATCCAATACGCTTCTCTTATAACATTAATTTTTCCTGTCGCTTTCATTTATTTAAAATATTTTGACCTGTTTTTCAAATAGTCTAGATCTACAAAATGGCTAACAAAACCAAATTTAAAAACAACACATTAAAAGCAATGAAAATGCATACAACCACAGAACAAAGCACAGCAAATCAAATCAACAGAAAGAACCAACTGGATAAAGCAATGACTAATTCACAAAGCAACGAACAGCAATACTGGATCCTATAACTTTCTTAAAAGTTTATCATTTTAATGACACCATGATCTATCAGAGAACAGGGCAAATTATCTGGGGGAGGGGGTGCTCCATGCAGCTATATGACCTGACCTCTAACTGCTTCAATTTGTTTAATGTGTACACTGGCTATGAAGGAGGAAATTTATCTTCCTAATGATAGAGACCCAAGAGTATCAGAAGCAGTCTCAGCCTCAATAAAGGTATTATATCTCACCTTCCTGCCTTCTTGGAACTCAAAAGTTTGCCAAGAAGTCCCCCATCCAGGCATGGACAAGCCCCATACCTGATTTACTTCAGCAAGGCTGCTGCATCAGGTGCTCTTTAACCATAAGGTATATCTGAGAAGTTCATGAGTCGATTATTTAACAACAGCTTTATTGCAATTTTTCCTGAAGAATGATAATTATTCAAAGCTGAGAACAAAGCAGAGATGTTCTGGTCTGTACCACTTCAGACTACAGGTGGCAACCATTTTTTAGAATGCTCTTCCCAACATTAAAATTTTTCTGTCTGGAGTAGCCTAACCTATAAAGAAGATGGCTACACTAAACCCCCCTCCCTGAGGTAGTTGCTGGTTGTTTTATGCACCAGAGTTCTGTTAACTGTGAAAAATTCACTCTTCCACCTAGACAATGAAGCAGTACAGTCTACTGCCTTATTCACTTTAAGGTGTAGATTGGCACTGAAGAAAGCTACATTAATTGGGAATGGGGCTTCTACTGGATAACGTTTAACACAAACACACAGACACACACACTGAAACTCTGATTCCATGAAGCAGATAAATCAGAATTAATTCACTTTTAAAACTTGATGATAAAATACTTGAGCCTTCTTATGCTTAAAAACAAGGTAACACAACGAAATCTGCTAGACTTATAATTTTTTCTAGCATAGACTGAAAGTGGTTAGCTACTCCCATAGGCCCCCTCTCTCCGCTTTCTTGCACATACAGGGTATTACTGTTCTTCCGAGTGCAGTATAACTTGGGCAGGCCATTCAAGTCCAGACAAAGTCTTCCCAAGAGCCTTCTCCTGCCGGCATTCTTCCAAGGACCCCTGGGTGCAGTTGCATCAATGGAAACATCTGAAGGGTCCGGGGAAGAACAGTGGCTAGGTGAGCCTTAGCAAAGTAGGAATGGCTGCACAAATCATGTCACATTCAGAATAGCAGCACTGTACATGGAGACTGCTGGTAGAGGAGGAGAGGGTCAGACTAGGTCTCTGAAAGCCTCCTCACACTCTGCACATACAAGAGGCTAAACTAAGGTCTTAAATTTGTTGTATTCCCCCTTCAACTGTATATCAGAAGGCATTTTTCGAAGCTCCTAAAACCCAAGGCTGAAACATAAATCATCATCTATGGCTTAACAGTTTGTGTAACAAAATCCGAACAAAAGGACAGCTGAAAGAACAAGAATGACTGAAATAACAAGGAGAATATTACTCATGCTGACTAGCTAATTGCACCAAAGCATCAACTCCCCTTCAGTATGTTACCATATGAATCTGGATGAATAACTGTGCACCCTTCACTGACGTATGTAAAACACACCAGAAGCAAGAGATAAACACATAGCAAACACACAACCTCCTCATTTAAATTGCTGCTCTCTTGTATAGCCTTAATCCATGCCAACATGTCATCTCTGTCTTCTGCCTGAAACAGGTATTCGCAGTCTGAGGTGGTAAGCCGAAATACATTTTTCCTCTTTGTTTCGCTGTATGAAATGTCTATTAAGCAAGCATTGATACTGATTGGCAGTTCGTCCTCAGATGGAACCGTTTGCTCTTTTTTATCCTTGTACAAGTAGAGGGAACAGCCTTTAAGAACGACATGCATCTGTTTCCATGGCCGGATACTCCCTCCAACTCTCTGGGAAAAAAACAGGAACTAGGATTAATCTGATATTTATTAAACAACAATAACATAGATGTACATGATATGGATTAACACGAGCCAAAAATACACACACACCCCGAGAAAAGACAGTTCCCTGACTCAAGAGTTTACAGTCTAAAATTCGAAACAAAGAAACAGACAGAACAAAGAAGCAAATATTTTACAGAGGATTAATCCTGATCTCCCAGTTATTTATCACTGCAAAGTTCTCTTATGAAATAAATAGCTAGGCCTGAAATCATACACAAGATCTGTAAATTTGTGTGAAAGGATCATTTTTCCGACAGCTTCATTAACAGACTGTTGCTTAAATGCCTTCCTAGACAAACATGACAGTTCCTGAGGGAAGACAAAACAGAGAGTATTCTCACTGATACTTCCAGACCTAAACTCTTTCCTGTTAACTCACCAGGGCTGATAGCCTGGGGATCATCTGCTATGAGACCAGCCATGTGTTCTTCCTATGGAGCTGAGAAGAAACTAACATACAAAAGAAATCCCTTCCTTTTATTTATCTTCTCTGTGTTTGTACTAATTATGTCAAGGAATATAGTTTCTATAGCAGACCCTGGTAATGGCTCGGAATTTTTGAAAAGCAAACTTTATAGGCTAAAGAAATGTCCAGCCATTGTTGCTAAATGTTCAGAAACCAGGACGAGTTAAACATTCTGTATTAACATTTAGCTGTACGTTAATAAGAACACTACCTTTCCCTTGTCTGTGACTAGCTGTCGAAAATAGAGGCATCCTTCCTTGGTGACATCGCCAAAGACCTCTGAAGAAGAAGCTGTTCTGGACCCTGAGTTTTCTGAAGACGTTTGGCTGTCTGGGGCCTAAACAAAAACATCACTGTGAAACATCTTTGCAATTAAAATACCAAGGTGTGGTCTCACACACACACACACACACACACCACTGCCCTTGCCTCAGCTTTCTTTCTCTCTCTTGACAATGGAAGGTGGGCAGTCAGCTCAGGTCAGCTGCACCATAGCTAGTGGCTGCTGGACTCTGCACTGCCCTTTGCTCGGCCTATTTGTTTGGTTTTTACCCCGGTTCCTCCACACAATCAGATATAAGCTTGTGAGTTCTCCACTGTGAATTCAACTTGCACATCGTAGGGCCTGATTTGGATTGGGTCCATGGTGCACAGAAGGGGCTTATGACTCCTACACACACAAAGCGTTTTAGCAACCTGAAACAGCCCCAAGGGGACTACTATTTGCCTCATTTGGATTTTTGTGTATCCTACCAGTACATCTGAATACTTCAATGGGGAAAACAGCAGTCCCTGGGGCAGTTTGAGGTCAGCAAAACAGCTCAGAGGCATATAAGACCTCTCTCCTTGCAGTCTCCATCTGAAACAGAGAACTGAAGTCTGGGAACTGAGTTACCAGCAGAGAACTCACAAACACCTGGGAGAAGGTAAAGTACAATCAGTCACTGGAGAGTCACAAATAATCAGTCCTGGCTCTCTCTCGAGATGTACATGGCAGAACTGTCAAAGTTAGCTTTTGCTAATGCTTAGGTAGTGTTCCATACATTGCTGTGACTTAGCAAAATATCAGCATCCACAGATCACCATAAAACAACTGCATGTTTAGTACCTGCATCCTCTCTCAGTTTTATCGTAGTGATTCAAATCAACATGCAACATTGACACAGATCTACACTAATTTCCACAATTAGTACATTGCTGAATACAGAGTTACTGACCTTGATTCCCTTGAAGTTAGCTACATGCTTTAGAGACCTGTAGAGAGAAAATAGATATCATAGCCACACTTGCTGAATTCACGGTTTGATAAAAGCACATACCTATAGATGCATATACATTGTTTCATTCATGACTTACACTTTTCCTTCTCTGTAATCATCCAGTCCTTCGTCATAAGATTTAGACCTCTCATTTTTCGTTATGAGCTGGTCGTCCTGAATGTCGGTTCTCAAGCATTCTGCAAGTACATTTATTTAGAAATATTTATATTCCATCTTTTAGTCTGTTTATCTATGTTATGGACAGCCTTCCTTCCTCAAGGAGGATTATATGAAGTACAACAATGCAAACCAATAGAATAAGACATCTAATAATCAATGCAATAGGATTAGGAGTATAAATTAGAAACAATGCACAAAAGTATCAGATATGATATATCAAAACAATAGCAAAAATGGAATAAGCAGATAACATGGTAAAGAATTTTATTAAAATGTATCAAAGTGGCACCAACAGAAAAAGCAATCCAAAACTAAAACAGCAACAGTAATGAGACTCTAAAAGGATTATGACATACAACAATGCAACCCAACCATATGAGACATCTAATTAGTGATGCAATAGGATTAGGATTACAAATTAGAAACAATGTACAAAAGCAGCAGATATGATATGTCAAAACAATAAAGAAAATGGAATTACAAAAACTGAAAACTACATAATAAGAACAGGATAATAAATGGAATAAGCAGATAACATGGTAAAGAATTTTATTAAAATGTATCAAAGTGGCACCAACAGAAAAAGCAATCCAAAACTAAAACAGCAACAGTAATGAGACTCTAAAAGGATTATGACATACAACAATGCAACCCAACCATATGAGACATCTAATAAGTGATGCAATAGGATTAGGATTAGAAATTAGAAACAATGTACAAAAGCAGCAGATATGATATGTCAAAACAATAAAGAAAATGGAATTACAAAAACTGAAAACTACATAATAAGAACAGGATAATACATACAATAAGCAGATAACATGGTAAGGAATTTTATTAAAATTTATCAAAGTGGCACCATCATAAAAAGCAATCCAAAACTAAAACAGCAACAAAAGCAGCAAATCAGCATCATCTTGAGCCATCTTCAACTTATAAAGAAATAGCTCATGAAAGGCTTTCGGGGGGTGGGGGGGAACGACCCTACCTGTAGCTAGTGTCTATAAACAGACAGGCATCTAATGAGGTATACTTCTCTAGGAAGAGAGTTCCATGATCTTGAAGTCAAGGCCATTAAGGCCAGTGGGGAAAGTCCTAGTGAGCCCCAAGGATCCTCACCCCAAACAAGCAGCCCTCATCCCATGTGGGGCTGCTGCTGGCACACAATGGTTTCCATCATGTTGTACTGGGAAAGGAGGCATGTACTCAAACTCCACATGGCTTAAGCAGGCCAGCATTTCCTTTATTACGTGTGGCCCTGCCAAGCCCTATCATGGGCAGGAAAGGAGGCATGAAGCCCCACCAACAACCACGTTGTGCAAGAAAGGAGGACTGTGTACCTTAGCCAGGCCAGTGTCTGCTTCATCATGTGCGGCCCAGCTGAGCCTCATACCAGCAGGGAAGGATGTGTACAGCTCAGCCTCACGTGGCTTAGCCAGGCCACATGTGGCCCAGATAAGCCCCATGCCAAGGAGAAAAGAGGGCCTATGGCCATGCCCTGCACAGCAAAGGAGATGCTGGCTAGCCAAGCTTCTCAGGGCTGGCTCTTCCTTCCTTCCTCCCTCCTTTGAGGGCGCTGCACTTGGACACAAGCCCCCGTTTCCAAGCAATTTTTTCCTTTCCAATCCACCCTGGTTGCGAGTCATTAACGAGAAGGTCCTAGTCTGTCCAGCCACCCTGCTGCATTTCAGATGGAAGTGGTACAAAGAACAGGGTTTCCAAAAAACATTCCTAAATGTGTATCAGCTTGAAAAGCACTGACATTTCATCAGCAAATTAGTCAGTGCAATTTGAAATGTATTTATTTATTAGATTTTTAAATCACAAGATGTTTAGAAAACTTACCATGGTCATGTGACAGCTGACGTCGAATTAAAGGGACAAGAGAAGTGGGGCTAGGAGGGACAGTTGTGATGGTGGGTGCTCGTGAGGAAGATGCTGAAATAACAGCAGAGGCTGGGATGTGGGCAACCTCGTGGTCAATGCTAGGGCTAGTTGGTTCATCTGCAAGGCAGATGCAAATTAGTGCATAATGCAGCAAATTAGTAAGATTTCACATGAAGATAATGCACCAAGACTTGCCATATCAGCACATGCATAATTATGACAGGCACTGTATTCTCTGTCAGTGCAATACCAGAGATCACATTTGTGCCTAACAGTGCTGCCCTTGGCAGAGTTACACCCTTCTAAGGCCATTGACTTCAGTGGGATTACAAAGGTATAACTCTGCTTAGGATGGCACTGTGAGTTTGCATAGATATTGCAGTGGCATTCCAGGAGAGACAAAGTAAATATACAATCATTTGCCAAACTAAAAAAAAATCCCCACATGCTAATTCCAGGATATCGTCAAATTCACATTATTAATGGGACAACATAATGATTAGCAAAGTATGTCTCAAACCATTTACAGCATGGCTAGGAAAGGAGAAAAGGCTATGCTGAGTTGATAAAACAGACAGTGCTACTGTCTTCCTTCATGAAATACTTTTTTTAACAAAATAATCTACTTTTAGGTAGGAAGTTTGTCACCTGTTTAAAAAAAGCTCTGTAAACCATCTGGCCACTGTCAGATAAATGAGTCACCAATTAAAACGAAATCAGAACAAACAAAACCAATTTCTTTAAAATTAGGGGGGAGAACCCCAACATGCACATTATAATGAATGTCCAGGCAAAGCAGAAAGCACCAGTAACACAACCCATCCAGTTTTCTGTTAAAGTAAAAAAATCCATAGTTCAAAAGTTGCTACTGTTACATACCAATTATAGCTTCCATTAATTGCTGATATAAATTATCACAGTCTGTACATATCCAGCACCTTGAAGTCTCTACAGCCACAAAAGTCATCCTGCAGCATTCAAAGAATCTTTGAATTTGAAAAGTTCTGTTTTGTATTTTTGAGAAATTGCCAAGATGCATAACAGACATGCAGGATGATTAATCTAGGAGATCCTGTTCTGTGAAAAGTTAGAATTTTAAAAAGAAGAGACTTCCTCAACTGCACTTTAGCCAAACAAGACAGAACTGGAGAAATCCAGACCACAAGCATGTTACACTGTGATAATTAATATGTATGGATTGGATTCTAGGTGCTATGCATTTTAATACGTTGTGCTTCTGAAAGGCCCATTCAAATCTGAAAGCATTCACAAACAGAGGTTTATTCTTTTCTTTGAATGAACAGATCAGCACGTACTGCATTGTGTTTTGAAGCAGTAATTGATGGCTCTGTTTTAAACAGGCAAGGCCCGCAGCATCAAAGTTGGGCAATGCATACATAGACATATATATACACTTTTTAAAAAATGATCAGCATTTTTCAAGGGAAGAGACACTTTGTGATTCAGCAGTGTCTCCTTTATACTGACAGAGACTGGAAGAAGCAATTTAACGTAAATATTTGAGAAGACAGTAAAGATTTGCCAATATAGAGACAATGCCCAGCATCATATGCAAGTTTCACAGCTAAAATATTTCCCTTCAAATTTATGTTTTCCATAAATATTTAAATGTCAGACAACTTAAAGTAGTTGAATAATTTTATCAATCTGATTCTCTTGGTTATCCTTTTTCAAAAGCAACTTCTGGAAAAAATACACCATAGTCTACCATAGCAGATATTCAAAACACACATCTATATATCTAATTCCGAAGATGCCCCCTGTGTGCGGATACCTAAATCCGCGCATCGGGGGCACCTGGGGGGAGGGAGATTTTTGTGCACACTTGGGACGGTCCCCAGGTGTGCACAAAAATCTTGAAACGTGAGAAAAATATCGGGGGGATACTTAAATCCCCCCAAAACTGACAGAGCCGGCCAGGGGGGAGAGCAGCAAGGCCCGAGCGGCAAGCCGCTGTCAGCAAGCTGCCATAAGGTGGTGTATTCTTCTGTGTATTGCATTGTGCCCAGTCCATCCCCGTGTGTGTGTGGAGGAAACAGGGGAGGAACCGGCGGGATGGGGGGGAACTTACCTCCTCCTGCTGCTTCCTCCTCTGTCTCATGTGTGGAGGTCCCCCTCCGCCCCTTGTTATTCTTATTAGCCGTTTCTTGTAAAACCTTCAGTCATGTTGCATTTGCAGTTGATTTAATGCCACTGACTCTAGCCAAAGTTCAAATAGTTTATATTATATGATAATTTCAGTATGAAATATTAAATATGTTTTCTTCTGCATAATTCTTATCACAACCGAACTGTTGTGTTAAAATTATATACAAATTTTATGAGGTTATTCATGGTTTAGGCTTATAACTGATAAGATTGATAAAATAGGATAAAAATGTTAATATATTATGAGAAAATGGTAGAATGTTGAGTAGGTTGTTATAGTGGATTTTAAAGTTATTATGTCATATAATTTTCCTAAAAAATCAAGTATTTAAATCAAGGATTCTTTTATATTTGCAACAAAATGCCCTTTATACTACGTTTTGGTAATTTCACCTTTGATTCTTTTCCCTTACCCCTTTTCTTTATTCTGTATTCCCTAAAAAAGTTTAAAATAAAAATTATTTTTAAAAAACACAAAATTCAATATATATATATATATTTGTTGCATAAAAAGGCAGACATTTGAAATAAATCCACTCAAACACTACAGGTTATGGTGGTTTTTAGAATACTGTGTATTACTTTGAATAAACTCTGTAATGTTAATTTTTTTAAAAAAACCCAACAGCTTATACTGAAATGTCTTCCTAAACATGCCCTCGGCTGATCTAGCAAATAGTATTAGAAGTCAGGTCACTTTTGGAAAAAACCCACTATTTTTAAAAGAAGAAAAAGCGTACCAATGCTCACAAAATCAATGCATTTGTAATGTCAAGCAGATCAGCTGATGCAGAGAATCTTGGCTGAAAACACTACCCATTTGTTCAAAATGGACATAGGACTCCTGCAGTGAATTTCACTGTGGCCAATCTGTAAGGAAGTGTGAGGGATGGAAATAGAGGGAAGACTGCCATAACTGAAATTGGGGTACGTTTGGAAAAACTGAAAAGTACCTTCAAAATCTCCCAGTAATAATAATAATGATAGGTTTATATATATATTCCACAATGTTATTACGTAATCCAACAAAATCACACTAAATTTTCTTCTCCACTACTCTTTAACATTCATTTTGTTTTGGTGCTCAAGTGCTATTCCAGTGAGCTGCATCAGGCAAAACAGCAAGAGAATATTTCAAAGAGACTGTGTGGGTGTCAAATCTTCTACTACAGAAAGGCATAAATACCAGACTATGAATAATGGGTGAATGAGGAAAGTCTCATTCCCCTGTCCTTGTATCCCTGTTCATTCATAGCTCAGCCAAGCATTAAACTAACAGCAGGCATTAAATGCCAACATAAGCCTCTTCCTAGGTGTATTTTAGACTTCATCATTACAGCCAGGGTCCAGAGAACTGTGTAAGCCATTCCACTCACCTAAAGAACCTTTGATCTTGCTCTGCCTTCAGAGTAGACCTGAGATAGGTGCCTCAGCAACTGGAACACGACAAAGGAATCAAGGGTTCCTGCCTCCCAAAAAGTTAAAGTTTACAAGCCTCTGGGTGCTCCCCTTAAATAGCCCTATGGATCCCAGGTTACATTACTGTTTTGTACAATTAGGCATTACTACAACTCCAGGGAGCCCCCAAGGCTCATTCAGAGGTCAACTAAGAAGGAGCACATGGGGCTCCAGACCAGTATGGTTCTGATGCACATAAGGGACTTGATTCCCAGTAGAAAGGTGGGCAGGCAGGGATAAGAGGTGTTCTAAATTCACGACAGAACAGACAAATAATTTGAACTGGGCATTTAAATCTGCTGCTGGTATCCTGAGTGACCCTCACCAAATAACCTCTATGACTCCTCCTTTGCAACTTCTACAAGTACTATGATCATGAGCTTAATCTCAGAAGTTATCAGGACTGTGTGCATAGCATCCAGAAAAATGCTGCACTTCAGGTTGTTTCCTTAAATGCTACCATATCCTATCAGAAGGAAGGAAGGAAGGAAGGAAGGAAGGAAGGAAGGAAGGAAAGCTTCTGTAACTCTTCCTGTTTTCTTTTATCTAATGACTACTCGTTTTGTTTTATATTCTTCTGATGGCTGGGCAGTGCATTTTATGAGGGAACTTATATTTTCATTATTTGATTTTAATTACACCTAGTATAAGTTGTCTACACCTGGAAGATATATGGCTGTGAGTAGGATTATGTGGTGGACGCACTAATGTTAGATGTCCAGGGCAATGTTGCATAGATACAGTGTCCCCTTGTTTGTTTATATAAACATGTGTAATAAACTAAACAGTGGAACTGGAATGAAGCAGAATGGGGGATGCCAAGT